TAGTGGCATCTCTCACTCCAAACTCCAATAAAAAATGACCAACAAAATGCCCTCTTCATCTTTTCATGATAGTGTGATCCCAATGGCACAATGGTTACCGCTGTCTGGATTGGATGCACAACATGGAAAACGTGACTACCTCACTAGGACAAGGCACAAAATCAAGGTGCATTACTAAAGGTATCATTGCGTGATTTTGACGATACAGCTAGTGAAACCAATGCTCGAGATAGGTGTGCCAAAGGAAGGTATAGGATGCAGGAGTATTTATGAAGAGATATGGTAACGCAACAACAGGATATGTATTTTGACTTGGCAAGATAGCGGCGGGCGGCGGCCGGGTTGGTGAGCGAGGGAAACAAGTGAGGTCTAGGGTTCAAGGTGTAAGGGAGAAGATCTAATGGCTAGAAATCAATCGATCTAAAGAAAGGAAAGAAAATACAATCCCTAGTAACTTAGGAGTTACGCAATCTATATCTTCCAATTCTACCCCTATATCCTACCTCCAATTTCTATTTTACTTTTAACCAAATACTTTATAATTTTCCATTTGAACACATAAGAGTCATCCAACTTTCATACATATATATAGTTCGAGTGAAAGAACATGTAAAGAAGGCTTGGAAATTAAATCATGCACATTTGTAGTGGCATCTCTCACTCCAAACTCCAATTAAAAATGACCAACAAAATGCCCTCTTCATCTTTTCATGGCAGTGTGATCCCAATGGCACAATGGTTACTAGTGTCTGGATTGGATGCACAACATGGAAAACGTGACTACATCACCAGGACCAGGCACAAAGTCAACGGTGCATTACTAAAGGTATCATTGCATGATTTTGACGATACAGCTAGTGAAACCAATGCTCAAGATAGGTGTGCCAAAGGAAGGTATAGGATGTAGGAGTATTTATGAAGAGATATGGTAACGCAACATTAGGATATGTATTTTGATGGCAGGATAGCGGCGGCGGCGCGGGCGGGTTGGTGAGCGATGGAAACATGTGAGGTCTAGGGCTCAAGGGGTAAGGGAGAAGATTTGATTACTAGAAATCAATCGATCTAAAGAAAAGAAAGAAAATACATTCCCAAGTTACTTAGGAGTTGCACAATCAATATCTTCCAATTCTACCCCTATATCCTACCTCCAATTTCTATTTTACTTTTAACCTAATACTTTACAAGTTTCCATTTGAACACATAAGAGTCATCCAACTTTCATACATATATATAGTTCTAGTGAAAGAACATGTAAAGAAGGCTTGGAAATTAAATCATGTACATTTGTAGTGGCATCTCTCACTCCAAACTCCAATTAAAAATGACCAACAAAATGCCATCTTCATCTTTTCATGGCAGTGTGATCCCAATGGCACAATGGTTACCGGTGTCTGGATTGGATGCACAACATGGAAAACGTGACTACCTCACCAGGACCATGCACAAAGTCAACGGTGCATTACTAAAGGTATCATTGCGTGATTTTGACGATACAGCTAGTGAAACCAATGCTCGAGATAAGTGTGCCAAAGGAAGGTATAGGATGCAGGAGTATTTATGAAGAGATATGGTAACGCAACATCAGGATATGTATTTTGATGGCAGGATAGCGGCGGGCGGCGCGGGCGGGTTGGTGAGCGATGGAAACATGTGAGGTCTAGGGCTCAAGGGGTAAGGGAGAAGATCTAACGGCTGGAAATCAATCGATATAAAGAAAAGAAAGAAAATACATTCCCTAATTACTTAGGAGTTGCGCAATCTATATCTTCCAATTCTACCCCTATCCTACCTTCAATTTCTATTTTACTTTTAACCAAATACTTTTCAAGTTTCCATTTGAACACATAAGAGTCATTCAACTTTCATACATATATATAGTTCTACTGAAAGAACGTGTAAAGAAGACTTGAAAATCAAATCACATACATTTCTAGTGGCATCTCTCACTCCAAACTCCAATTAAAAATGACCAACAAAATGCCCTCTTCATCTTTTCATGATAGTGTGATCCCAATGGCACAATGGTTACCGGTGTCTGGATTGGATGCACAACATGGAAAATGTGACTACCTCACCAGGACCAGGCACAAAATCAAGGTGCATTACTAAAGGTATCATTGCGTGATTTTGACGATACAGCTAGTGAAATCAATGCTCGAGATAGGTGTGCCAAAGGAAGGTATAGGATTCAGGAGTATTTATGAAGAGATATGGTAACGCAACATCAGGATATGTATTTTGACTTGGCAAGATAGCGGCGGGTGGCGGCCGGGTTGGTGAGCGAGGGAAACATGTGAGGTCTAGGGTTCAAGGTGTAAGGGAGAAGATCTAACGGCTAGAAATCAATCGATCTAAAGAAAGGAAAGAAAATACAATCCCTAGTTACTTAGGAGTTACGCAATCTATATCTTCCAATTCTACCCCTATATCCTACCTCCAATTTCTATTTTACTTTTAACCAAATACTTTACAATTTTCCATTTGAACACATAAGAGTCATCCAACTTTCATACATATATATAGTTCTAGTGAAAGAACATGTAAAGAAGGCTTGGAAATTAAATCATGCACATTTATAGTGGCATCTCTCACTCCAAACTCCAATTAAAAATGACCAACAAAATGCCCTCTTCATCTTTTCATGGCAGTGTGATCCCAATGGCACAATGGTTACCAGTGCCTGGATTGGATGCACGACATGGAAAACATGACTACCTCACTAGGACCAGGCACAAAGTCAATGGTGTGTTACTAAAGGTATCATTGCGTGATTTTGACGATACAGCTAGTGAAACCAATGCTCGAGATAGGTGTGCCAAAGGAAGGTATAGGATGCAGGAGTATTTATGAAGAGATATGGTAACACAACATCAGGATATGTATTTTGATGGCAGGATAGCGGTGGTAATGCCAAGGTTTGGTGAGCGATGGAAACATGTGAGGTCTAGGGCTCAAGGGGTAAGGGAGAAGATCTAACGGCTAGAAATCAATCGATATAAAGAAAAGAAAGAAAATACATTCCCTAATTACTTAGGAGTTGCGCAATCTATATCTTCCAATTCTACCCCTATCCTACCTTCAATTTCTATTTTACTTTTAACCAAATACTTTTCAAGTTTCCATTTGAACACATAAGAGTCATCCAACTTTCATACATATATATAGTTCTACTGAAAGAACATGTAAAGAAGACTTGAAAATCAAATCACATACATTTCTAGTGGCATCTCTCACTCCAAACTCCAATTAAAAATGACCAACAAAATGCCCTCTTCATCTTTTCATGATAGTGTGATCCCAATGGCACAATGGTTACCGGTGTCTGGATTGGATGCACAACATGGAAAACGTGACTACCTCACCAGGACCAGGCACAAAATCAAGGTGCATTACTAAAGGTATCATTGCGTGATTTTGACGATACAGCTAGTGAAACCAATGCTCGAGATAGGTGTGCCAAAGGAAGGTGTAGGATGCAGGAGTATTTATGAAGAGATATGGTAACGCAACATCAGGATATGTATTTTGACTTGGCAAGATAGCGGTGGGCGACGGTCGGGTTGGTGAGCGAGGGAAACATGTGAGGTCTAGGGTTCAAGGTGTAACGGAGAAGATCTAACGGCTAGAAATCAATCGATCTAAAGAAAAGAAAGAAAATACATTCCCTAGTTACTTAGGAGTTACGCAATCTATATCTTCCAATTCTATCCCTTTCCTTCCTCCAATTTCTATTTTACTTTTAACCAAATACTTTTACAAGTTTCAATTTGAACACATAAGAGTCATCCAACTTTCATACATATATATAGTTCTAGTGAAAGAACATGTAAAGAAGGCTTGGAAATTAAATCATGCACATTTATAGTGGCATCTCTCACTCCAAACTCCAATTAAAAATGACCAACAAAATGCCCTCTTCATCTTTTCATGATAGTGTGATCCCAATGGCACAATGGTTACCGGTGTCTGGATTGGATGCACAACATGGAAAACGTGACTACCTCACCAGGACCATGCACAAAGTCAACGGTGCATTACTAAAGGTATCATTGCGTGATTTTGACGATACAGCTAGTGAAATCAATGCTCGAGATAGGTGTGCCAAAGGAAGGTATAGGATTCAGGAGTATTTATGAAGAGATATGGTAACGCAACATCAGGATATGTATTTTGACTTGGCAAGATAGCGGCGGGTGGCGGCCGGGTTGGTGAGCGAGGGAAACATGTGAGGTCTAGGGTTCAAGGTGTAACGGAGAAGATCTAACGGCTAGAAATCAATCGATCTAAAGAAAAGAAAGAAAATACATTCCCTAGTTACTTAGGAGTTACGCAATCTATATCTTCCAATTCTATCCCTTTCCTTCCTCCAATTTCTATTTTACTTTTAACCAAATACTTTTACAAGTTTCAATTTGAACACATAAGAGTCATCCAACTTTCATACATATATATAGTTCTACTAAGAGAACATGTAAGGAAGACTTGAAAATTAAATCACATACATTTCCAGTGACATCTCTGACTCCAAACTCTAATAAAAATGACCAACAAAATTCCTTCTTCGTCATCTTTTCATGACTGAGATTCCTAGAACAGAACACAGATGTGTCAAACCCCATAAGCACCTGAACAACAATGTAGTGATAATACCAAAAAAAAATCAGCACCAAAAAACATTCCTACTTTTGAGAGGGGCAAAGTGGGAAGAACAAGTCAAAACACCGCCCCACAGATTCCTCGTCCCCCTCGTTTCCCTCTTCGTCTCCTCCCTTATATCTCTCCCCTGATTTCACTCTCACGCCACTTCGCCGCAAAACCCAAACCCGTTCCACCCGCAAGGACTCCGCTCTGCGAAGAGCGGGACAGATCGAGCTCGACCCCCCAGATCCTCCGCTCCAGCAGAGAAAAGAGACGCCTTCGTGCGTGACACTCACGCTCTTGGGGTAATGGCGCCGGCGTGGGAGCGCGCCAGGCGCGCTCTCGCAACCAGGTTCTGCATGCGCTTTGCGGCGAGGCGCGTGGTCGTCGATGACGCGCCACGTGGGTTGGTCGACATGGATGCGCCGTTTCCGGTGGCAACAGAGGCGGAGCAGCAGCAACAGCAGCCGGATGAGAGGGAGGTGTCGCTGGCCGCGGTGTCCCCTGAACCGGCGTCGTCCGAGCAGCTGGCGTCGAGGTCGTCTGGGAGCCGGAGTTCAGCGGTGAGATCTCTTTCGCCTCTTGCAGCCGCCTTGTGTGTTTTTGTCTGGTGCTCATGGTGTATCAGATGCGCCACTAGTTTCATGATTTTGCGAGGATTGCCTTGTTGTGTCTATATAGGTTGCTTGGCATTGGGACCACAGTTCTGTGGGAAATTTCCTGTGACGTGATTGTTTTCCCAAGCTTATTATACGACAGAAATGTATTGGTCTTTTTTTTTTCAGTTTCCATTTCAGGCTTCTGACATTTAGAAATCCCATACGTATGAAACTTTTACTGCGTGATTGTTCTTCTCTGCTCTTATTTCAGTATAGGACAAAACCTGTGCCACTGTTTTGGAATTCGCCTAGAAAGAAACCGGAAATCTTTCCCGTTCGGACAGGAGCCGCGCGCCGAATGGAGCGGATGCTTCACGAGCGAGCACTGCTTCTCTTCCTCTCGCAGCCCACGACGCGGCTCTCTCCCTCCCTCGTCTCCATCTTCGGTGGGCTTAGAAGGAAGGGGCCTGGGGGAGGCAGGTCGGCAGGCGGTAGGGATGGTGGTCGGATGGTTAGGGGCCTTGGCGGCGGTGGAGGCGGCTGAGCTAGGTCGGGGCGTGGGCGTTGCGGTGGTGCTCGCCGGCGAGCATGGCTGGCGATGGCGGGAGTGGGGACGGGGAGGGGAAGAAGGAGGCCGCCGCGAGCGCGGCGAGACCCTACCGTGCCACGGTGGGGGCGGTGGGCTGTGGCGGGGGCGGGGGCGAGGGCGGGGTCGAGCACGAGGAGGAGAGCGAGGACGACCGCGAGGGCGAGGAACGTGGCCGCGGAGCTCCGGCGAGACCCTACCGCGCCGCGGCGGGGGCGGTGGGCTACGGTAGGGGTGGGGGCGAGGTCGTGGGCGGGGGCGAGCACGAGGAGGAGAGCAAAGGACGACCGCGAGGGCGTGGAAGGCCGTGGGGAAGATGAACAGTACCCCCAGCCGGCGCATGGTTCGGGTCCGAACGGCCGGACCCTAACACAGCCCGAAAGAAAAACCCTAGTTCAGAACTGTTGTTGGGTTTATTGCATCATCCTTGAACGAAAATTTTGACTTTTTAGTTTTTTTGTTATCGATTTGGGAAACCGGTTGCTTGCATTTCATCAACCTCAGGTTTTCCCAGCTTTTGATTTCGCATTTTAGACTTTCTATTGTTGGTCATCGAATTGATCTTGAATGTGTATGTCTTGTTCATGTTTGATTTCCAGCTTTTTTTAATCCGTGGATGTTCTACGCATTATACTCAGCGTTTTATCGACTAATAGACAAGGGAAGTGATCGTCTATTTAAGCAATAGTTTTGGTGTTATTCTATTTCTAGGATCCAGCTGTGATTTGAAAAAGAAAAAATCGGCTGTTTGTGCAATTGCATTCCCACGTAGGCAGTTTATCGAGTACTGATCGCCATTTTTGCATATCTCATGAACAATACTTTTTGTCATTCCCAGCCCAAGTTTATCTTTGATCCTGATGGGTGTTGCCATGTACTCCTAGTATAGATAAGGCTCAAATGACTTTTAAGGATATTTTGGTGTTGACATCATTCTGCTGAGCCAAGCACTCAAACCGTGTTGCAATAATATTTCCATATAGTATGCTAGTATGATTCTATGAGATATATCACGTTGTACTTCTTCGAAGATGGAAGTGTTGAAAGTAAACTTGAGATATTGATAGTTTTGTGCAAAGCGATGCGTAATAGACATAATGGATTTCCTTCAGCAATCAAATCTATATAAAAACAGAAATGCTATACAACACACGTGTGTTTTATGAGAAAAAACACATGGATTTTTTCTCAACCCTTTTTTCACCGGTCACCGGCTCCTGAACCTGTCGGGCACTTGGACCTGTCGGCCACGATGGCGCAGTGCGTGTCCACGTCGTTGGCTCGCAGGTACCAGCCGAGCATCTCCTCCAGCCAGCCCCAGTCGCCGATCCCGTACGCGGCCACCGTCTCCTCCATGGACGCCCGGAAATCCGCGTACGGGTCCGCGGACTCGAATGCGACCGCCACGGCAGTACTCCACCTGCCACGTTCATATGCCTGCGATTTGTGATTTGTCCTTCTATAGAAAAAAAAATTGTTTCTTGTGATCTGTGATCTTGTGATTGTCTAGAGTTAGATGAAGACTAGAGGTAGAAGAAGGCTGAAGGTAGAAGGAGGATGGAGGCTGTTGGATCTTAATTCTATGGTGAAAAAAATTTATGTGTTAAAACTGTATAAAACACATGGTTGTTGGGTAACGTGTTTGTTGTTACATCAACATACATTATGATTTGAGAGATCACACATGTGTCATGCCTATCTTCAAGTAATACTATGCTCCTACAAACTTAGAGGGACAGTGTCAAATATCTTCTGAAACATGCATGGTTACAACTTGCTAGCTTGGCCCTCTGAGATATCCAGAGTATATGATGCACCACACCTTCCTCCCATGTGCAAAGAGCTGAATAATGGAGGGATGGGCTGATAGATAGCTCTTGCTGATGTGTCTGCACTTGACCTGATTTTTTTTATGGATGCATCTAATTTTTTGTGCTGCTTTTGGATAATCCCAGCCTGATAACAATATACCTGACGCCCTGACCCAGTGACCCATGCTTGAAGCATTTTTATTTTTGATGTATAGAAATGAAACAGAAGAAAATAGATGCTTTTATAAGTTGACTTGATTGATTGCATGGCTTACATAGGATGTTCTCCTCTTATGCTGATGTCGTTCATATACAGGAAGAAATAGCACTTACAGTGTTACCACTAGTACTTAATGCAGTTATTTGTGAGGCCACCTTCCCTGATTCCAAAGCTCTATCAATTTGTTTTGGTTCTTATCTGGTAATTTTTAGTTGATACATGCTAATATGAAGATGATGAGTATTACGTGCTATGCATTGATGTTTCTTTTAGTCACTACTAAACTTCATTATGTGCTTATTATTGCTGATTCTGACTTCATTGAAGAGTTTGCATGCTTCTCAATGTTCTTTGCAACCACAAATCATTTCTCGTGCCATTGGTTGATTGAGGTGTGGCTTGTCTATATTTTTTTTAACGCAGTGGCTTGTCTATATTCCTGCTTGCATTACGCTGTTACCAAGACATCCAGATATCTGTTTGTGTTATGCTTAAGCAAGTATTGTGATTCCTGTTCACAGGATATCCTGTCCTTCACTGCAAAATTTATGTGTTTTTGAAGTGTTCCAATGTCGCCGTCCACTCATTGATCTCTGTAATAATGTACTTTGTATTTGTACAAGCAAGGAGTAGCCATTTTCTAACTTTGAGTTCTCTTGATTTCAGAAGATATGTGCAATTTGCCTCAGCGCCATGAGGTCCGGCCGCGGCCAAGCTCTGTTCACTGCTGAATGCTCCCACAAGTTCCATTTCAGCTGCATCTCCTCAAATGTGCAGCACGGCAACAAAATCTGCCCAATCTGCCGTGCTGTATGGAAGGAGCTGCCTTTTCAGGGGCCTCAGCTGGCTGCATCTGCTGCCCATGGGTCAGGGAGACTAAACCCATCGATTTGGCCCCATATGAGCATGCTGTCGGTGAATCCGCTGGAGGATGAGCTCCCAGTCTTTGTCATTCCGGAGCCAGCAGTTTTCAATGACGATGAGCAGATATATCTTCAGCCTGAAACAGCAGTTGGGGGTGGGGATTATGAGATTCCTCCTTTGCTTGAGATCACGACATACACTGCATTCCCAGCAATTCAGGAGTCCGTGGCACAGGAGCAGTTTGCCATCTTGATCCATCTCAAGGCTCCGCATGTGCCGGCGTGGGTGCGCACCCGAGCACCACTGGATCTGGTGACTTTGCTCGACGTCAGCGGGAGCATGTCTGGCCCCAAGCTTGCGCTCCTGAAGCGCGCCATGAGGTTCGTGATCGAAAACCTTGACCCCAGCGATCGGCTCTCCGTCGTCGCCTTCTCCTCGACGGCCTGCAGGCTGTTCCCGCTCCGGAGGATGACCGCCTTCGGACAGCAGCAGTCGCTGCAGGCTGTCGACTCCCTCGTCGCCGATGGCGGCACCAACATCGCCGAGGGACTGCGGAAAGCTGCCAGGGTGGTGGAGGACAGGCAAACCAGGAACCCGGTGTGCAGCATCATCCTGCTCTCTGACGGCGTGGACTCCCACAACCTCCCGCCGCGGGACGGCTCGGCGCCGGACTACGCGCCGCTCGTCCCGCGCTCCATCCTTCCCGGGAGCGAGCACCACGTCCCGATCCATGCCTTTGGCTTCGGCATGGACCACGACTCCAGGGCGATGCACGCCGTCGCCCAGATGTCCAGCGGCACCTTCTCATTCATAGATATGGTGGGGTCGATCCAGGACGCCTTCGCGCAGTGCATCGGCGGCCTCCTCAGCGTGGTGGCGCAGGAGACGCGGCTCAGCGTCGAGTGCGCCGACCAAGGCGTGCTGCTCACGTCCATCAAGTCTGGCAGCTACGCCAGCGGAGTGGACGGCGACGGCCGCGGCGGCTTCGTCCACGTCGGCCGCCTCTACGCCGACGAGGAGAGGGACTTCCTCGTCACCGTGCGCGTGCCGCCGTCACGCGTGTCCACTGCGCTCATCCGGCCGATCTGCACCTACCGCGACGCGGTCACCGCGGAGATGGTGCGGGTGGGAGGCGACCCGGTGATGCTGCTGCGCCCAGAGTTCCCGGTGAGCGCGGGGATGTCCCTGCAGGTGGAGCGCGAGTGGCACCGCGTCCACGCCACGGAGGACATGGCCGCGGCGCAGGCCGCCGCGGAGGAGGGCCACTACACCCGCGCGGCTTCGATCCTGGAGGCCCGCCGCCTGCTGCTGGAGTCGTGCGCGTTGCTGTCCTGGGACCAGCAAACGCAGGCGCTGGTGCCCGAGCTGCGGGAGATGCAGGAGCGCGTGCTGAACCCGCAGCTGTACGAGGGGTCTGGCCGCGCCTACATCCTGTCCGGGCTGAGCTCCCACTCGTGGCAGCGTGCCACTGCGCGCGGCGACTCGACGGAGCTCACGGGCCAAGTCCACAGGTACCAGACGCCTTCCATGGTGGACATGCTCAGCCGGTCGCAGGCGCTGCAGCCGGAGGTACCAGAGGCACTAAGCCGGTCCCCGTCGATCTCATCCTCGCGCAGCCCGGCCCCAACCCCCGCCCCCACCTCCGGCTCGCCGAGGCCGCGACGCGGGCTCCGGTCGTTCAGACTCCGGTCGTGACTCGTGAGTGCAGGCGAACTCTTAAAGTAGCAGTAGCTAGCTAGGAGGAAGAAGAAAAGCATTACCCTTGATTCGTTTCTTCGATACTCCATTGTCGCAGAGGATTTGGTTACTGATTTGCTGTTTTATACTATTGTTTGGCCGTGAATTAATCTTGAGCGACATGCTTTGTAATGGTGTTTTGTTTTAACTTTTTTTGTGCTGTTCGTCCATTGTTTTTGCATGGAGGGAGTTTGACCTCCGCTGGTTGGCTTGGTTGGAGCGCAGAGCGTCCAACGGCTGTAGAAATAGCTAGCATCTAATATATCTTATTACACACGTGGACGAGAGAAGGTAAAAATCGATCTCGGGCCTGGTTTAGATGGTAAATTTTTACAATCTGAACATCGTAGTACGTTTTGTTTGTATTTGATAAACTTTGTCCGATTATGGACTAACTAGGCTCAAAAGATTCGTCTGGTGATTTACAATCAAACTGTGTAATTAGTTATTTTTTTACCTACATTTAATGCTCTATGCATGTGTCCAAAAATTGATGTGATAGAGAGAGTGAAAAAACTTAAAGGCCCCGTTTGCTTGTCTGAAAAAAAGAAGCCAAAATACTGTAGCAGCTGGTTGTGTGAGAGAGAAATACTATAACGACTGGTTGATGAATAATACTGCTGTGAAAAAAAAAACCAGCCAGCCGAACGACACCAGAATTTTAAAGCAATCTAAACAAGGCCTCGCTAGCGCTGGTTCAAGCAGTAGTCTCGCACACAATCCCAAAAGTTTGCGGTCACTGACACTCGGCTGCCTTTCGGTCTGCCATGCGCACTAGCGTTTTCTAGTACTATTTTAACTTTCTTCTGTCTCTTCTCGCTATCAATTTGAAGAGGTATGTTGAGGACGCCCTAATTGGTTGGGCCTGTTTGGCTTTTTGAGAAGCCGATAATGTTTCAAAATTCAAAGTGACGAGTGATGTCGTTACCGTACCGCATGTTCGGTATTCCAAAAGTCTTGAAACTTCAAAAATAGCATAGTATGTAAACTAAGCATCTAGTTAAATTCTGATTGCATTATGTTTCTTGACATGCATGCAGAGAGGCCGAAGACATGCTCTTCAGATACATGAGTTCCATTTCTTTCTACAGTGTGGAGGACCAAATTAGAGTGCCTTCTTCGGAAAAATATTCAGTGAGGATCATCCCTACCAGACACAGTGAGGACCGTGCAGCTGACAAGTGGTCCATGGGGCATCTAATTTTCCATACGTGTGTTTAAAATGATACGGTGACCTACCTGTCAGCTGCACTCCTCATCACGTCTTGGCAGGGATGGTCCTCACCGAATTTTTCCCCCTTCTCCCTCACGGTGGTTCCCTGCACAAACAACAAAAAATTACAAATACATTAGCCACTTCCGTACACTCAAAAAGAACTACAACAAACATACGGATGACACATTCCTAACCTTTGGTGTTGGCCTCCCACCAATCTTACTGCCCCGAAACCTGGGTTCCTCTCAATACTAGTAGTGGTCCACAATGATTTCCCAAAAGTATACGAGATCTTCAGGTTATCCCAACGATTCTTTAGCTGATTTTGGGCATATTATTTCCCTGTTTGAGAAAAATACTTTTGCCCCAAATTTCTATAACCTCTATAGAATCTAGGGTACCTAGAGATCTATTTCCAGCAAGAATTTCCTCAACACAAATGTTACAAAAAAAAATTATGGTCATATCCGGATCATCCCAATCTACCTTGCATACGCTCCTTTTCCTTTTTTATCTGTCTAAAATACAATTGTTTGTTCTTTTTTTTGTGCATTTCATTCATAGATCAATCAGGGTTACAATCTGAAGTCACCAGGTGATCTACACAGGTTGGGGCTAACTGCCACTCACCCAGCCTATTATCACTTGAAACTTGCTTAGCTAATACATGAGCTACTCGGTTACAAGATCGACTTGTAAACATTACAGAAAATTCAACAAAGGAAGAGCTAATTTCCCGAGTTTCCCTGACGATTGACGCAATCTGTGAACGTTGATTGGCGCCCTCCTTCCATAGCTTCACAAATTCTTGACTGCCAGTCTCCAGAATAAGTCGTTGCACCCCCTTATCCCGAGCTCGAACAGCACCATCCCGGCAAGCCAATGCTTCCAGGGTCAATGCATCAAGGCCATGGGGGTACCACCTTGCCCGTCCACCAACAAAGAGACCTAAGTCGCTTCGGAGAGCTACCCCAGACGCACCTTGCCCTTGGTCCGGATAAAAAGCACCATCAGTGTTGCATTTGAACCACCCGGGCGGCGGCACACGCCATTGCTGCACACTGTTCCTCTCCTTCACCGAATTCATTGGTTTGTTCAAGTTCCATAAGTCGATGGCTGTGTCAAGTGACCAGCGGACCGCACCACTAACTGGTTTATGATTGTCACCATGTCGTCGCTGATTCCTTTGCATCCAAAGTGCATACATGCCGATAATGAAAATGCCACGCTCCTTGTCGTTGCACAAGCCGTCCATCAGTAGGTCGCTTGCCCAGGATATCGGATGGAGACTGGGCAGCTTCAACCCTGTGATTATCTTCACCTCTCGCCAAAACATCTTTGCCGCAGTGCACTCCGTAAGAATGTGCTTGATAGATTCCGTGTCAGCTCCGCACAACTCACAAAAGGCCATCGGCTCAATACGCCTCCGATGTAAGATTTCCTTTGCTGGAAGGAATTCGTGGAGAACTCTCCACCAGAAAATTTTGACTTTCGAAGGCACTGGTAATTTCCAAATCTTTGTCCAGGAATCATCGCCTGAGCCACTCGGCAGCTCCTCATCTCTTCGTCCATTCATCGCATATAGCTTTCGATAGGACGATTTGACGGAGTAGTTACCATGCTTCTCAGGCTCCCACGCCCACCAGTCATCATCTTGTTGAAGTATTGGGATTTTAAGAATGGCATTTGCGTCGATCGGGAGAAAAACATCATGTATGAGTGCCTCATTCCAAACTCCCGATGCAGTCATGAGTTCAGACACCATAGTAAGTGCATGACCATCTTCAGGAGTGACAGGCCGAGCATCAAAATGAGCAGTTATCCACTTGTCTCTCCATATGTTGGTATGCTCACCATTGCCAATCCTCCTAATCATGCCCCTTTCTAAAACTTCCCTGCTCGTTAGGATTGCCCGCCAAGTATGGCTAGCATGTTTCCTCCTTGTACTGCCCATGAATCACCGTCATGGTAGTATCTTCCCTTCAACACCCACGCACATAGGCTATCTGGTCGCGTCACCAATCGCCAACCTTGTTTGCCCAACATTGCTTTGTTAAAAAGATGTAGGTCTCGAAAACCCATACCACCAATCAATTTATGCAGTGTTAGCCGATCCCATCTCAACTAGTGGATATGTCTATTATCAGCTAAACTCCCCCACCAATAATTTGCAATTGTTGATCTCATCTTCTTGCACGTCGTCTTGGATAGACGGAAGCAGCTCATAGAGTATGTAGGGACTGCCTGAGCCACCGATTTAAGAAGCACTTCGCGGCCAGCACAACTTGCCTCCCTACCACTCCAAGTTCCAACCAAATTTTTAATTCTTGTGGCCATGAAATCAAAGGCCTCAGTAGACAACCTCCCAACCACAGTTGGCAATCCCAAATATTTGTTAGACAAAGCTTCAGTTTCAATGTGTAGCTCATGCCTAAACTCTTGCTTGACTTGCTCATCACAATTTGAGCTGAAAAAGACTACCAATTTATCCTTGTTCACCATGTGTCCAGACCCCTGGCTGTAGGTCTCCAAGATTTCCTATAATCTAACTGCCCCCCTCTGTGACACTTCTGAAAATACGATACAATCATCTGCAAAGAGAAGATGCGAAACCCAGGGAGCATGGATTCCCACACGAACACCCCTTGAGAGATGCATTGGGCCGATCGATTTCAGTAAACATGAAAGTCCTTCAGCATAGAGGAGAAACAAATACGGGGAAATTGGGTCCCCCTACCGTATCCCCCTTGAAGGCCTGAAGACAGATGACAAGCGCCCATTAACTTTAACTGAAAAAGAAACTAACGTCGCACACCTCATGATTAGTGCGATGAACGTTTCATGAAAGCCTAGCTTCAGCATGATTCCGTTGAGATATTCCCATTCCACGCGGTCATATGCCTTGGCCATATCAAGCTTTACTACACAGGTGCCAACTTTACCCTTTAGGTAATGGGTGCACTCATAAGCAACTAACACGTTGTCTGTAATTGGACGCCCAGGGACAAAAGCGCTTTGCTCTTCAGAGATTATATCATCCATACAACATCTCAATCTATTGCAGAGAGAAATTGGCCTAAACTGTTTCATCTCCTGAGGAGTTTTGATCTTTGGAATCAGCACTATGGTAGTGCTATTAAATGACACCGGCATAAGACCTCCATTCAAGAAATCCAGCACCGCTTCTATGACACTTGGCCCCAATGTTGCCCAGTGAAACTGATAGAAACCCACCATTAGACCATCGGGTCTAGGCGCCTAATTTGCACCCATCATGAACAGCGCTTCTTGAACCTCTTATGTTGTGAACAGTCTCAACAAAAGGTCATTCATATCTGTCGTAACCTTTGTAGGTACACAACTAAGGATCGGGCCCGGATCAAGTACCTCTTTCCTAGTAAAGAGCTGTGTATATGGCCATCACCTCCAATTCCTCCTGGGTAGACATCACCGAGCCATCTTCTCTTCTCCGAGCCATGATTCGATTGGTTTTTGCTCTCTCTTTTGACTTTGCTTGGAAGAACGCCGTGTTACGATCACCCTCCTTAAGCCATTCAATTTAGGATCGTTGTTTCTCCATGCACTCTTATCTTGACAAAAGCTTAGACATTTTCACCATCAATTGCCTTTCCTGCCTCGATGGTCTAGAATGCAGCGATTGTCTTCGCACATTCTCCAACTCGCTGCGCATTCTTGCTAGCTCCTGCCGAACCGATCCAAAAGAGGATATCTCCGATTCCTG